TTTCATTTGAAATCTTAACTGTACATTTTAAACGTGAAGTCTGACTCTTTAAAATAAATGATATAACGTGATGTTCTTTTTTATGCCTTAGCAATTTCCTTCGTCAAGTTCTTGTAATTTCTCATACAATTACAAAATGCTTTCAAATTTCTACTTCTTTTGAAATTCAGCGTCACTTTCTAATCTGGTGCCAACTGCAAACATCAGAGTTTCAAGTAACATCTTTTTTAAAAATTTTCTGGGGGGGGGATAGGCCAGGTTTGAAAGAAAATAATCCAGGGTTGTAACCCTGTAAGTTTATTTAAATACCAATCTATACGTATATAATAAAGCTGAAGCTTTTGTTTATTTGAACACGCTAATCTCAGAAACTACTGGTTCAAATTCAAAAAATCTTTTTGTGTTGGATAGTCCATGTATCATATCTACATATAGGCTATATAACATCACGCTACGATCATTAGGAGCGAAGTAGCAATGAAAAATTCGGAAAAACGGGAAAATTATTCCTCCTTTGACAGCTCCCGTTGCTTACGCTGCTTAAACGGTTAAAGTTACGTAAAAATCATGTATGACGAAATTGTTCCCCTCTAAAAGTTCTAAAGAAAAGTCCGCGACAGCATATGTCTATCTTTCAAGGTCGAGTCAGTATAACCTTTTTTAAGGTAATGAAATTTGTTCTAAAATAATAATGCATTATGTATAAAATTCTCGCATCACAGTGTTTGTAACCGAACTTCTCCGAAATGGGTAGACCGATTTGTATGAAATTTTTTATGTATATTCGGTAGGTCTGACAATAGGTTATGCACTATTTTTTAAACCCCTAAGTGATAAGGGTGGCCCACCCTAAAAAATTTTTGTCTATTTTTTTGGACAAATTTTTTTATTTTTATTTTTTTAAGATTTGGCATCAAAAAATACACATAACCCTAAATTTTCACCTTTCTACCACCAACCCCCATTTTTTAATCGTCTATATAATAAAAATCAATTGCTGTTCCTGTATTAGTCTCGCTAAGACTCAAAAACGGCTTGACCGATTTGAAACATTTTTTATATTACGGGGATGGTTTATAAATAAAAAAATAATGATAACTTAAAAGAACAGTTAAAAAATAAAAAAATTCTAAAAATTTTGTATGGGAATCGCCACTTCGAATTACTTTCAATAGTTGGCGTTTCTGACGGACCTGTCGTCTACCTGACGTGTCATACAAAACTAACTCTTCCGTGCGATTGTGAAAAGTATATTGCATTTCAAATCGTTCTTTGTTTTTTCGTAAATAAAAACGTCGTTTATTTTAAGAAAAGTCTTGGTTAAAGTGAATTTAATTACACATTGCGAAAGTTTCTTATTCATCTTGATCTGCCATTCTATTTACCTATATTCACTTTGTTGGTTTCGACAAAACCTCAAACTTTACCGTTATTCGAGGATTTAATTTAAAGTTTTCAATATTTTAAAATTCTCAAGACAAAATTTACAGATTTGATTGACTGTGAAAATAATTCTGTGTCCTTTTATGAAATTTATTAAAATGGCGAGAAGACGACAAGCTCACATAGGTCCACGAAGTCAGTCAAATGTGCGACGAACTACCTCAGGTGCAAAACGCAATGATTTATTTCATGGGTAATTCGGATATGGAAGTTGATCAGCGTTGTGCTCATAATCAACATAATCAAACATTGAAGCGAGACATTGGGTGGTATGAATAAAACTGAGTAGATACTCATATTCGAAGTACGAAGTACCTACTTCATTATTACTCTTATATACCTGAGCATCTACTCTATGTACTGAGTACCTACTTGGAAACATTGTATCTCCCCGGACACAAACTGAACATCTACGCGTTTTGTGAGCATTTAATCTAGAAATGAGCATCGGCTTGGCAAATAACTGAGCTGTCTGTAAAGCAGCTTAGAAAACCAGTAGGATCGTTGTAAGAGTGAATTTTAACTAAAGATGGTGACTTTCATGAACGTGGAACGTCGTCAAAAGGTGCATTCAGTTTGAAAAACACATTAGGAGCAGGAATATCGAAAACTTTTCATGTAATTAACTTTTATTTATGCATAAATTGTGCAGTGCGTTTTTTCTAACACTGGCCATAGAGATTCCCATTTTAAGGTGTCTACCCCATACTAACTTATATTTTGGTGACTCGATTTTTGCCTGGATGGTTGAACACTGTCACTGTTGTCCTTTTTTGTTGTATCGAGATGCCACTTGAGCATCAACTGTTACTTACTGAAGTATTAGCATCATCTAGAAAAACTAGAAATATTTTGATTTGATATTCGAGTAGATACTTCGTATTTCGAGTATGAGCATCTACTGAGTTTTATTTATATCAACCATTGTCAAAAAATTGATTGAACGTTGTTTCGACAGAACTTTCTTCGCACCAAAAGTATAATGAAACATATTCAGCATTTTCGAGTTCAGTCTTTTCTTCACACAATTTTGTGATGATTTAATCAACATTTACTATCAACACGTATACCACCTTGGATTGGTGCAGTGTAATACTAAAAATAACTGTATTGTATTCCCAAAATTGTCTGCGAAAATCGAGTGAGCCATTCCATCAATTTTTTGGGGAGAATAAATAAATATTCTTAACAATTTACCATGCTTACAATAACTTTAAAGGTCTGCAAGATCTCAAAGTATTCATTTTTGCAACTCTTGAGTTATTCACTAAAATAAATTGACTGATCCATATATTTTTTTGAGTCGCTGTAAAAGCAAATCTAAAAAATATGAATGCAATGATAAATTACGAAAATATACTGATGATATTTTCCACATTTTAGATAGGATTTATTCGCAAAATCTTAGGATGACGTCTTTAACTTTTTGGGCTTGATAAACAGATATATTTTGATTGAAAACCTACCATGTCAAACACTAACTTCAAAACGTCTGCAATATTTCAAAATTCAGTTTTGCAATTCTTGATTCAATCAATAAAATAAATTGACTCAGTGATTAATTTTTTTGAGACACCCGCTATAAGCAAAACTAAAAAATATGAATGGAAAGATAAATCACAAGTATAGTCTCATCCTATTTTGCATAATTTAGATAGGATTTGGCAAAATTTTCTGCTGACGTCATCAATTTCTTGGAAGGGATAAGTAAATAATATATTTTGAATAAAAATTTATTATGCTTATCATATGTTTAAAACATCTGCAAGATTTCAAAGCATTCGATTTTGCAGATTCAAAATTAAATTGAAGGTGAAACGGAGTTCACGGGGTAAGCTAGTAACATTATAAAATTACAATGTTATAATGTTATAAATATAGAATTACAAATTAGGGTAAATAAAAGATAGCACCTCTATTTACAGGCTTTAAGAATTCGTGTGTGTAGAGAGATGTTGGATGTCGGAAATGTAAACATTATTATTCAGTTTATAGAAACTTTATTTATTAAATGTGTGACTAATGTTGCGCTCGGTCTGGTCACACTACGCTTGTTATTAGGCGAGCAAAAATGAGGCACTTGTTGCTTCGGCGTTTATTTGTGTTCTGACTTCTATATACAAAAATACTTAAAACTAACCCGGCACTCGGCCGTCCGAAGGTGGTGGGGTGCACATCCCGCACCCCCATCATCACTGTTGCGGAGACGCAACAACTAATTTATTAAATTTTCGAATTATTAACCTTAATGCTGATGGTTTGAACTTTCTTGAATCATGATGTATTATGATTAGAGCTTACGTGGTATTAAAATTTAGTAGGTAATTTCGCTTCTATAAACTGATTCTGTATGTAACAAATATTGTAAAATTTACCGTGCTTCGGTTACGGATGATCTAAAAACCTCTTATGAAAACAGCTTGTTTCAATGTCTGCTTCGCTAAAATGTAATTCGCACAGTAAAAGATAATATGCATTAACTGACGACCTGTATTTTAATAATTATTATCTACTACAATAATTGTACACCAACGTAGAACTTAGGTACGCTTGAGTTACCAGAAGTTTCAAAAGTCTTTCTCTTTATTGCGGCCAACCATTTTCTTTTTAAATAATTTTCCGAGTTAGGAAAAGTAGATGTTATCGTCTTGATTCTAATCATTACCTTCTGTCTCTCTAGAAGTAATGGTTTCATCTACTAAAAATTTAAATCAAAATTCCCAGTGTTTCTTAATCATTGACCTTATACTTGGGAGTGCGCGTTCCTGTTTGAAAGCCGCATGAGTAATGTTGTCAACATGATTAGGCAACCAGTAATATCCATTCGGGGCAAAAGAGTACTAAGCAACATAGGAAAATTATGGAATAGGAGTATTTGTTTTTACATCAAACACTAGAGTTATTTAATGTTTGTTTTGCAACTAATTAACACACAATCACAAAAATCATTGAGTGAAACAAATATTTATGTAATTTTATAGCTAATACGCAAAAAAGACACTCTTTTTGTCGTTACAAACGTCGAAAATTTTATATTAACAGTTTTGAAACGGAAAAACCATTGAACAAACTTTATGAATCTCAACAGACTTTGAGAAATCTGTTAAGACGTCATAATAATGTGATATAAGTTTGGAATGAATGAACAATATCAATTTTGAATATCTATATCTAATCTTGTTATCAAATTCATTTTTTGTTGCTTATTTCGATGATGAATATGTTGAATATGGTGATTATTTAATGGATCCTGATTTAAGACATATATGATCGTCTAATAAAACAGTTAGGATCAATTGTTTCTCTGAAACACTTTTTCTTATGTCATAAAAACAAATGAGACGTTCGGCTGCTTTACAAAGCTTGACGACATCTTTTGAAGCTTTGCAAAAGTTGAAGTAGAATTGAAAGAGACAGTGAAAAAACAAAAAGATACCTTCATAAGTTATTTCGAAAATACTGTAGATTTGTAGAACCAAAACCGAAAGATTTTCTGTTGAAATTCTTATCAGGCCACAATTAGTAGGAACGATAATGCAAATATGTTATCAGTATGCATATAAACAAATTAATAAAGTAACATGAGTAGAAAGGTTAGTTTAACATCCATTACCAGTGACTGGCAGATAAATAATTCTGGAATCACATAACCTCTTTGAGTCAGTGCGTGTTAAGTAACGACCAGTTCTAAACAGCATCATGTACGTTATTTCTCTACTTTTAATTGAAATTTTGACACATTTAAGCTTTGCGGCTTTCCCAAATGTGTATGGAAAAATTAAACAGTACCCACTTGGTGATAATCCTGGTTTACCTTTGATTCTAACCCCTTTCATTGAACAAGGAAAAATTAAAGAAGCGCTTTCGGCCTCTGAAGTGCATTTCAATGGTTTTAAAGGCATAAAAAGCTATTCAGGATATTTTACTGTGAACAAGCCGTATGATTCCAATATGTTCTTCTGGTTTTTCCCTTCACAAACTAACTTTGAAAACTCACCAGTTATTCTGTGGTTGCAAGGGGGTCCGGGAGCCACTTCCCTAATCGGATTATTTGCAGAAAACGGACCATTCACAGTCATGAGCCAACACGGACTGAAATTACGCAAATACTCATGGACCAACACCCATTCGGTAATCTACATTGATAACCCAGCTGGAACAGGATATAGTTTTACCAATAATGGGTTTAGCGAAAACGAAACCCAAGTGGGACTTGATCTGTACAACGCCCTTCAACAATTCTTTTTAATGTTTCCACAATTGGTTAAAAACGATTTCTTCGTGTGTGGAGAATCATATGGAGGAAAGTATGTCCCAGCAATAGCATACACCATCCACACCAAGAACCCTACCGCTGACGTCAGAATAAATTTAAAAGGAATCACTATGGGGAATGGGTTTAGTGATCCTATAAATCAGTTAAATTACGCTGACTACTTATACCAAATCAGTTTAATAGACTCCAATATCCAAACTACAATGCAACAAATCCAAGACGAAGGAATCAAAGCCATTCAAAATAAAGACTGGGTTCAAGCGTTCAAAATTTTCGATGATCTCCTAGATGGAGACTTGAACAACAAAAGTTCCGTCTTCAAAAATACAACAGGTTTTACCAACTATTTCAACTTTCTGTATACAATTGACCCAAGCAGTGAATTAATCTACATGGGCGCGTACATCCAAAGGGAGGACGTTAGAGCTGCTATTCATGTCGGGAATGCCACTTTCCACGGCGAAAATAAAGACGTAGAAGTTCATTTAATATCTGATATTATGCAGTCTGTATCTTCTTGGATTGCTGAACTTTTGAATCATTATCGGGTGTTGATTTATAACGGACAGTTGGACATAATAGTAGCCTATCCATTAACAGAAAATTACTTGAAAAATCTCAATTTTAGTGCTGCTGATGAATATAAGAAGGCGCAGAGATATCAGTGGTATGTGGATGAAGATTTGGCCGGATACGTCAAGCAAGCTGGAAATTTAACAGAAGTTTTGGTTCGGAATGCCGGACATATGGTACCAATGGATCAGCCAAAGTGGGCGTTTGATTTAATCTCTAGATTTACACGCGATAAACCGTTTCATTAAATAAATAACATGAAATAATGATGTAATATCTGTTTATAATATTAAAACTGCTCAGAGAAGATCAATAATTAATTATGTAGTATTCCGATAAACAGTTAACAACCGTATGGTTGTCAGAAATCTATATGATAAGATTTATAAGTAGTACCTCCCACTAAGCAAGGTTCGATTTCATTTTTTTTTTTTTGTCGAAACATTGAAATCACAGAACAACCAATATAAAAGAAGGTGACTATGGTATATTGCGCATTTTTTGTGACGTCATGTGGATGTCATCGATTTCAACTTGGCACCTTCAAAGATAAGTTAACCCATGCTTAAAAATTTAAAAGAGCGTTTTAAGCACGGTTTTCAAGGCAATGTGGCGTCACGTGGGTGGCACGCACTGCAGACGAAAATTTATCCACCGGAGTGGCATCAACACCAGCAAATACCTTATAGAACATTTTATAAAGAACATCAGAGACACTTCTCGACCGCCATATTGCGATGTACAATCGCACGCAAATGTTTTGAGCCTATGGGCGGATCATTTTTGCCTGTCGTCACCGAAGGAGGCGGTCCAAATCGTCCAAGGGCAGAATTTGTAGGCAGGCTCAAACTACAACGAAATTTTCGTGTTGACCAAATTCTTGCCCTAAATTAGTTTTAATTTTATAAATACCCTATCTAAAATGTTCAGAATATGATGAGTCTATACTTTTTTATTTACCATTCCATTAATATTTTTTGGATTTGTTTATACATACAGCAAAACTGAATACATAGAAATCTTGTCAATTAGTTAGAAAAAAAAAAAACTGTCCTGCTCTAATAACATCGAGAATATGCTCAAAATCACACTAATATTAGGTCTAATTGTGCCAACCATAGTTATAAAATTCAGATTAAAATAAGTCATGGACATTTTTGAAGTGTACTACATTTCAAAAAATGAAAAAAATGTTCAGTTTATAAACTTCATAATTTTGGTTTAAAGTTTATCAATCATATTTGACGCTTTATTTTATCCGTTCCATTTGTTATCCTTTACTGGGGTCTCTCTTGGGTCGAGGTGTAAGACCGGACCGAACGTTCTTCGACCGATGGGATAATTACTTCCGACATCTTTTCGGTGACAAATTTAATCTTTGCATACAAAGAGTAAATTTTGAAATGGAACGAAAGTCGAAGAATACTTTTAAAGCCACGATCAAAATGTATTTGCTTATCTTCGCCAAAAAATGCATGACGTCATCGTAAAATTTGATATGATGAGTCTATACCTGTGATTTATCATTGCAGTAATATTTTTTAGATTTACTTATACAGCCTGTCTCAAAAAAAGGTCACTTCGATTTTGGATTTTTCGTTTTTTCGACCAACAGTTTCATCGAATTAGATTTTTCAGTTTCCATTTTTCTATCAACTTTTCGATTTTATTACTTTCCAATTTTCTGATTTTTCAAGTTTGCGGTATTTTGAATTTTCGAGTTTTCAGTTTTTCCATTTTTCGGTTGTTTTATTTTTCGACCTTGGATTTTTCAACTTTCGATTATTCGATTTTCCATTTTCTGATTTTCCGATTTTTCGATTTGCGATTTTTCGATTTTCGTTTTTCCGCTTTTGTGGTTTTTAGATTTTTGTTTGTTTCAGTTTTTATGGTTCTGCGATTTGTTTTATTTTTCCATTTTTCGATTATTTTACTTTCCGATAGTTTGATTTTTGAATTTTCGGTTTTTCCATTTTTCGATTTGGAATTTTTCAATTTTTCGGTTGTTTAATTTTTCATATTTCGATTTTCGATTTTTCAGATTTGTGGATTTGTGTCCGTTTTTTTGATTTTTAGAATATTGATTAATCGAATTTTCGATTTTTGAGCATTTCGATTTTTCGATTATCATTTTTACGATTTTTCAAAATCTCGATATTCGAGTTTTCGATTTTCCATTTTTCAAATTTTCAATTTTTAATTTTGCTTTTTTCGATTGTTGCTTTTTAGAATTTTCCCTTCTTCAGCGTTTAGATTTCAATTTTGTTACTTTCCGATTTTCCACTTTTCGATTTTTTTATTTTTTTTTCGATCGTCGTTTTTTCGGTTTTCATTTTTCCGATTTTTTGATTTTTCAATTTTTAGGCCTTGCAATTTTTTTTTACTTTTCGTTTTTCAAGTATTTGTTTCATCGAATTTTCGATTTTTCGAGTTTTCGATTTTCGATTTTTCGGTTTTTCCATTTTCCGATTTTCCATTTTTAGATATTTTTCGATTTTTTTTGATTTTTCGATTTTTCTGTTCGTCAGTTTTGAGACTTCGCAATTTTTACTTTTCCACTTTTCTATTATTTTAGTTTTGGATTATTCGATTTTTGAATTTTGGTTTTTTTTTTTCATTTTTCGATTTCCGATTTTTTAATTTTTCGATTTTTCGGTTTTTGAATTTGTCGATTCTCGATATTCCGATTTTCGATTTTTCGATTTTCCAATCTTCGATTTTTCAATTTCCAGTTTTCGATTTTCCACTTTTTGATTTTACGATTTTTCGATTTTTCTGTTCGTCAGTTTTTAGGCTTTGCAATTTGTTTACTTTTCGATTTTTCGATTATTTTACTTTCCAATTTTTTGATTTTTGAATTGTCGACTTTTAGAGTTTTCAATATTATGAATTTTCGAATTTTCGGTTTTCCTATTTTTCAATTTTTGATTTTTCCATTTTTCGGTTTTTTAATTTTTCAATTCTCGGTTTTTCAATCTTGCAAAGTTTCGATTTTTCAGATTTATGAATTTCCAGTTTTTCGATCGACCTACGTATTAGATTCATTGAATTTTCGATTTTCGGTTTTTCCATTTTTAGATTTTTGATTTTCCAGTTTTGTATTTTCAGATTTCCTGTTTTTCGTATATCTGATTTATCAAATTTTCGATTTTTCGGCTTTTCGATTTTTCGATATTTGATTTTCGAATTTTCGATTGTTCAGTTTTCTATTTTTCAGCTTTTAGACTTCAATTTTTTTACTTTTCGATTTTCCAAATTTTCTAGTTTCAATTTTCAGATTTTTGATTTTTCGATTTTCTTTTTAAATCTTTGAATTTTTCGGTTTTGATTTTTCGAATTTTTGATTTTTAATTTTTCAATTCTTCGGTTTTTAGACTTCAATTTTCTTTCTTTTAAATTTTTCGATAATCTATTTTCCGCTTTTCAGAATTTTCGATTTTCAGTTTTCAGACTTTCGATCATTAGAATTTTGGATTTTTCAGTTTTATGATTTTTCGATTTTTAGAAAATTTGAGTAGTCGAATTTTCGATTTTTCAATTCATCGATTTTTCCATGTTCAATTTTTCAATTTAAATTTTGCGATTTTCAATTTGTCCATTGTCGATTTTTATAATTTTCGGTTTTTCAATTTTTCTATTCTCAACTGTCAGACTTCAATTTTGTTGCTTCCCGATTTTTTGGTTTTCGATTTTCCAATTTTCAGAATTTCCAAGTTTCTTTATTCAGATTTTCGATTTTCCACTTTTTCGATTTTAGATTTTTCGAATTTTTGTTTTTCCAATTTTTTGCTTTTTCGATTTTTCTGTTCGTTTCAGTTTTCAGGCTTTGCAATTTTTTCTACTTCATATTGATTATTTTAATTTCCGATTTTTTTTATTTTTGTTTTTGATTTTTTTAATTTTCAATATTACTTTTCGATTTTTTGGTTTTCCCGTTTTTCAATTTTCGATTTTACGATTTTTGAGGTTTGTGAATTTCCACTTTTCGATAGACCTAGGTATTTGATTCATTGAATTTTCGATTTTTTAATTAGCCATTTTATTTTTTTGATTTTTACGATTCGTATTTTTCGATTTTCTGTTTTTTGCATTTGTGAATTTCATTTTTTCCGATTTTTGATTTTGCTCATATTAATCAAATTTTCGAAAAAGTTACCATGCTTACAAAAACTTCAAAACATCTACAATATTTCAAAGTATTCAATTTTGCTATTCTTGATTTCTTCAATAAAAAAAATTGACTCAGTCATTAACTTTTTTGAGACACTCTGTATAACCAAATCTAAAAAATATTAATGCAGTGATAAATCACAAGTATAAAAACTCATCATATTTTATACATTTAAGATAGGATTTATTCTCCAAAATTTTGAGGTGACGTCATAAATTTTTTAGAGGGGACACTCGACAATATCGTTTTTTTTTCATTTATTTATTTATTATGAACATTTAAGAGTATTTTATTGGAAAAAGTGATGACATTTTTTATACGGAACAATTGGTCGAAAGATGTTAGAAAGCAAAATAATTCCTGTCCGGACCATCGTTAGTCACGAACGAAAGTGACCATTATTTTATGGGAACAACTACCTCCTAATTCTTCTCCGACAAATTTGAGCCATAAATACTTCTTACCAAATCTAAATTTCGTTGTAGTTTGAGCCTACCTACAAATTCTGCCCTTGAAGGATTTGGACCGCCTTCTTCGGTGAGGGCAGGCAAAAATGATCCGCCCATAGGCTCAAAACATTTGCGTGCGATTGTACCTAATGTGCGGGAAACTCGAATGGATGCTACGTGTATATTCGGTTGCATACTTCATCATCGCGTATCGCGTCTTACCACAGTATAGAGATCATTCAGTAGTGACAACTCGCTATTTTTACTGACCTGTTTTCATGGGTGGTTGTTCGATAGGTAAAATTCGTGTAACGTTTAAATTCAAAATCTGAGTAGGGGAAAAATAATAATTCAAAATATGTTATGTAAATATGTGTAAGGCTATGAATTATGTTATAATATAAAATATTCTGTACATATTAATTACATGCTTGACATTACTTAATAATCTGTTTTGTAAACGATTCTTGATGATTGTATAAGCCACTTTGTTATTTCCTTACAGCAAAAAGTCTTTCAGTGAAATGTTGTGTATCCTAGAACCACATACGAAAAATCAAATAACGTACAGTATTCGTTCTCTACAAACCTTCTCATATGTGTTGTTAAACTATGTTCCCTCGAAAAACTATTTGCACAGTACAAACAAGAAAAAGGCCGATATCCTTCATGTGTTTTCTCATGGGTTTCTAAATTTACTTCTGAATCAAATCCTTTCTCACATTTTGTACATCGAAATATTTTGTCGAGACCATGAATTTTTTTATGTTTTCGTAAAACATCCTTGGATGCATATTTTTTTTGACAGATATCACATTGAAAATTCCTAGGTTTTTCAGAAGGTAAAATAACGTTGTCAACATTTTGTTGTTGAACTTCCTGCCGAGTATTAACCTTTTTAACATTCAGCAATGTTCCATCATCTAACTGTATCAATGAAGATGGAATTAAATTGTCTGAAAGCAACATATTTGGCTGCAGTTGTTGAAAAATCAACGGTTCCAACGGATTGACGTCAGGCAGTGTATCCGTATTTGTTTCGTTTATAATGTTTAATGAATCTTTTGGGAACTGCATCTAAAATGCCATGTTGAAAAATGGATATTTACTTTAATACGTTACACGTACCTGGTCCTGGACAACCAAAACATTTTCTAAATCGCTGGTGATTCCTTGTTCATTATGGGAATTGTTCGAGACCTGGCTACTGAGAACATCCAGGGCAACAGAAGCAAGCAAATTCGTTACTTTATTTTTTGTTCTCTTTTTTGAAGAATTCATATGAAAATTGTTTTCGTGTGATTTTCTGTGAGCAGCTGTTCTGAATTTATTAGGACAAAAATTACACTTGTGAGTTTTATCACCTAAAAGAAAAACAATGAATAAAAATGGGAAAAACTAACAACACAAGAAAAACCTGTGTGCACAGACATGTGTACTTTTAAGCTAGATTTCGACGAGAAAAACGAATTGCAAACAACACAACTAAACTGCTTATGAATAACTGGATTGTGAGTTCGTTGGTGAGATATTAATGTGGACTTGAGAGTAAATCTTCTCTCACACTGATCACAAGCAAACGGTTTTTCACCTGTGTGCGTACGTATGTGACGTACCTACAAAAATAGTAACATAGGAACCGTAAACATTTATTACGAATAATTACCAAATCTGAGTACTTTTTAAAATTTTTCTGACAGAAATTACACTGATGAAAACTGCCACTTCCCCTCCTATGATCCCTATGGGTTTGAAGATGCTTCATGAACATTCTTTTATTAGTAAAGGCTTTATTACATTTGGTGCAAGTGAACAACTTTTTCTCATTTTTATCTTTTTCTTCTACGTCTTCTTGGGAATTACAATTCAATAGAGGCACCTCATTTAAATTAATATCAGACAGATTTAAACTGTCACCATGTAAGTCACAGTTACTTGTTTCAAACTCTGGGCCTAAACTCAAAAGTAGGTTCAAATCAGACTGTGAGTAGTACGGTAAATTTCCCGTAAGAACTGTGTCATTTAACTGTGCGTTTTGTTTATCCACTTGTGGTTTAGTAATACCAACGTTCATACCACTCAGTTTTAAAACTTTATTATTTAACTCCACAACATTTATAATATTATGTGTATCACAAGTGTTTAGCGCTTCATTTGGATTATAGACTTCTACGTTTTGGGTATCAAAATTATTATCTACCGAATCTATACTGAAAGTAGTGTTGTCTTGCAAATCATTCAAAGTATTAAATAACGTATCAGTATTGTTTGAATATAGATTATCAGACAGCTGTAAATCCTCACAGTTAATGTAAATTGTTTCGACTTCATTTAAGTTTTGTTTCAAAATTGTATCCGAATTAGTAATTATTTGTATAGAATTTGAGGGCGTTTCATAAAGTTGCTGATTTAGTTGCGTCTGTGTGACGGTAGGACCACATTCCTGAAGATAGGTTCGTAATAGTAATGATAATTTACTTAGTTTACATGCAGCCGTTAGCTCGAGCGAAGTATCCAAACTCATACTCGGACCAAAAATGTGCACTGTGTTTTCTGCTATAAATTTCCGAATTTTGGTTTTACCATTAAACATGGACGTGTAGGTAGTTCCGAAACATGCATTATCTGGTTCATATACTAAGTTTTTACTTTGTCATCAGCCGATTCATTGTTTAGCGTAATTTTTTTTCTGATTATTTTGGTGTTAAATTGTCCTCTATAGTGAGCTTAAGGCAGATTTCGTTAGTTAGAACTAAGATAGCTCGAGCTAACGGTTGCATGTAAACTACGTATGTGCCAATAGTTTAAAACTGGGTCTACCTGGTGAATCAAATTCGGCTTGATTGGTTCTGCTCTATTTAAATTAAGATTGTGACAATTCGTTTCTTGATTATCTGAATTCAATATTAAATTGCTGCTGACTTGTGCCCCAGGGAGCATTTCGATAATTTCTGTTTTTTCTGATTCATTAACAGTTTTTACAGCGGTGGTGTCATCAATGTCATGAGCCTGAAAAATGTTTGTTTCTAAATGGTCTGTTAGATACCTACAAATTACATTTGTTTTCAAATACATATACAATACAAAATACAGGAGAATGAACTCGCATAAAAACCAACACTCCAAATACAATTGAGACAATGTAGTGAGTGGAAAAGAATACAATGAACTCTCATCATCCAAACCGAAAATCTACAGCTGAAAAGAAGTTATTTTTTTTACATGTTTTCCTTATTTTATTGAATTAATTAATTTAGTAAAATGAACTACTAAACAAACAAGAAACGAGCACAAATATCATCGCCAAATCTGGTGTTGACATTAAGAAAAAATAGTACAATATTTGGTATCATTTAATAACATCATAATTACCTGTAAAATAGCTTCTTTCCTATGAATGTTTAGTATGTGTTTTTTACACAACACCAGGCTCTTGAAATTCTTACTACAATATGGACAAATATATGGCCGACTTGTACTATGCGTTGTTAAATGCCTCTTAAGCAATGATGGTGTCATAAATTTCTTCCCACAAATTTTACATCCATAATTCCTAACACCAGAATGGAATGTCAGGTGCTCCTTTAATGCTTGTGCCGTAAAATATGACTTCTTACAATGAGTGCACTTATATTTCCTTTCATCCGTGTGTAAGAGCATATGTCTTTTCAAATTTGACATTTTACTGAACTTGGTAACACAAATGGGGCATTGGTATTGTTTTAAAGAATCTGTTTTTTGAGACGATACTGGTAACAAATCATTAGTGGTATTAAGAAGCGGCCGTTTCATTTCAATTTCGACTTGATCGCTAGTGACTTCACTGGTTTGAATATTGTGACTTTCCTTCTCATGAAATTTGGCCCGTTGTACAGAACTGAACCATTTGTTACAATGAAGACACTTATATTGGGGTTTATGTTTCCTGTAATTTAATTTGTTTTGAAGAAATTAGTTTTTATGTCAAAATAATATACCTTAAATGCATGTTAAGTGAACGCAGAGTTGAAAATTTTTTCATACACGTGTTGCAAACGTAGTCTGTTGAGCTACCATGAGTTTTAACGTGATAGAAAAGAGTTGATTTTAGTGCAAACGACGCTCCACACTGTTTACACTGAAACAAAATTTTGAAAAGTGTGAGTCACCGTAACGACTAAGCAGACTCACTGAAAATGGCTTCTCTCTAGTATGCACCCTTGTATGTCTAATAAGATCCGACGGTTTCTTAAATTCTTTACTACAATAACTACAAATATACCACTTAACATCATTCACTTTCTTCTGCATAACCAAATATCTCCTAACTGTGCCGTCGAGAAACGATTCTGCCAATCTGACGTAACTAGTACTCGTCGCGTTTCCAGCTTTCTTCATTTCATTTAAAACTTTTTTGTTCTGCTCTGTTACTATTTTATCCGATTCTTTCATTTCTGGAGTAGGTGCAGTATGTTTTTCTAACTCCTTTAATTGATTCATCACGCTTACGATATCGCCTATTTCTTCACTGCTAGCATGACACTTCGTTATGTGCACGTTTAATGACGCAATTTTTTTAAATATGCAGGTGCAATGTGGACACTTGTACATTTTTACTCCTGGCATTGGAGCTGTGTGCGTTTTTTCCACATGTACGCGTAAATTACCCTTTTGATTAAATTTAGCTGAACATAGGGTACAATGAAAAGGTTTAATGCCTGTGTGTTTACTAAGATGGATTTGCAGTGTTCCCTTTTGGTTAAAACCCTTGTTGCAGTGTTCACACTAAAATAACGTTCTTTGTTTTTGTTCAAATTAATACCAACAATTCCTTACGATAAAAGGTCTTTCCCCACTATGGACTCGCAAATGTCTTTCAAGAAGGGAAACCTTCGAAAAGCTTTTTAAACAAACGCTACATATGTGAGGATAGTTTTTATTTCCATTGGTTTTACGTGATTTTTTCCCTGATAAGACCATCTTCTTAACCTAAAATAACAACATAAAAATAACGAAAAATGAATGGCATAACTACGAGTGATAACTTTCACAGGTCTGTTAAGTATTGAAAACTACTTATAAAATAAAAAAATTAACAATTCCAAACTATCAAATACGTTTCGTAGAAATTATAGAATAAGTAAGTTAGTTTTCTTTATTGTGCTTTTCTGACGTACCAACGGCAATTGTTGATTTTTTATCACTTTTAAAACATTCTGTTACTGCATCTAGCGCTACATAAACATTTTTGTAAATATAAGTAATGATTATTATTATTATCTCCATTACGAAAACATGACGATTAAACAAGTACTGTCGTAAAAGGATCAATTTCTATCCTCTTCTTCATCACTCTTTTTAAGAACTGGTCATATTATGTCTTAAACCTGAAATTCAATGTATTACAGACATTTGATCCCATTTTTCACTCAAACGCGGAGTATGTGATTCGTAAATTATCCAACATAATGTAGCGACAAAAATATATTTTCTTGTAAAGAAAGAAATGAAAAGTTGTTTAGTACGTCCTAAATAATAATAAAAAAAAAACCTACCGCCAACGTCACATAAGCTGATTAAAAGATTCGAAGGGTTAACAATTTTCAAAAAAAAAGGATAAATTATGCTGCAATACGGCGACGGTAAGATTCCTAGAAAATACATTGGCGGTTTCAAAATGGTACCAAAAAACTTAAATCAATTTGATTTTATAGTAATTTTCAAAATCTTAACGCGAACTAGACGTGTCGACAAGTGGCAAAACAAAAAATATCAACACTGTTGGGGCGTGTTTCAACTGCTGTGCTATTTTCTCGAACAAAACTAGACCACTCATTAATTATTATCTATTGATCTATAAGAATTTTTTTTATCACTTGGTGCGCGTTAATAATGTAATTGATATCCCTATTACAATTACCAGATTCAACTACTCAAGAACATCCAACGTAAATTTTTAAACTATATGTTTTTTTAAAGTAGAGAATCATTAGCCGTGGTCTAATTGTACAATTGATACTTTCCTACAAAAATTGGTCTAAAGAGTTTAGACAGTACTACCCTCGCTGTCGGAAACTTGACGACTGCATGCCTATTGTGTTTTTTTTCTCATTACATTTTTGTAGTGGGAATTTAAAAAAAAATTGCGATGACGTCATCAACATTTTTGCAAGGACATGTATATCAGTTGGGATAGATGTAGTGTAATACTAAGAATAAAATTATTATATTCTCAAATTTTCGGGAAAATGAATTGGGTCGTTTTGAATATTGATTTGTAATAATCAATGAAATAACGAAACAATTTACTCACGTATACGTATCAGAGGCAACTGAAAATCGCGTATGTATAAACATTCTTAATTTAAGATGACAGGCGTAACAGCATACGTGAGAGTCAAACAGAGAAACTGTAAACAAAACGACCATCGGTTTTATTGCTTCGACTTCCGCTTATTATATAAAACATTGGGTTTTATTTTAATTCTTGACGGTGAAATTCACAATTGGTTGATTATAAACATGTCTATTTCGCATTCGCGGAACCAAGTGACCGCATAAAACAAATGCAGGTCTGTAATGTTAAAGTCGATGTAAATAAGCGTGCTACTCTTATGTTTCAACATAGTTTTTCCTTTAACAAATTTTGTGTCTACCAAATTGCGTTGGTTGGGGTGTAATACTAATAATAAGTGTTGCCTTTAATTTAATCAATAAAATAAATTGACTTCATTAATTTTTTTGAACCACCTCTTAAGAAAATCTAAAAAATATGAATGGAATGATAAATCACAAGTACAAACTCATCATATTTTTTGCATTTTAGATAGGATTTATTCAGCAAAATTTAAGGGTGACGTCATCAATTTTTTAGGAGGGATGAACAAATACATTTTGAACAAAAGTTTACCATGCTTATAATAACTTTAAAATATTCCCAAGATTTCAAAGCATTCGGTTTTGTAATTCCTGATTAAATCGATAAAATAAATTCACGCCTTCATTAATTTTTTTGAGTCACCCTGCATATGCAAATCCAAAAATATGAATGGAATGATAAATCACAAGTACAGACTCATCATATTTTGTACATTTTAGATACGATTTATTCGGCAAACTTTTGAGCTGACGTCATCAGTTTTTTGTAGAAGATAACCAAATATATTTTGACTAAAAATTTATTATGCTCTTTATAACCTTAAAACATCTGCAAGATTTCAAAGCATTCGGTTTTGTAGTTGCTGATTAAATCAATAAAATAAATTTACGCATTCATAATTTTTTTTGAGTCACCCTGTATATGCAAATCGAAAAAATTTGAATGGAATGATAAATCACAAGAAGAGACTCACCATATTTTGTACATTTTAGATAGGATTTATTCAGCAAAATTTTGTGGTGACGTCATACATTTTTTAGGGGGGACGACCAAATACGTTTTGATCAAAAATTTACCATGCTTATGATAATTTTAAAATATCTTCAAGATTTCGAAGCATTCGGTTTTGTAGTTCCTGAGTAAATCAGTAAAATAAATTTACGCTTTCATTTATTTTCTTGAATCACCCTGTATATGCAAATCCAAAAAATATGAATGGAGTGATAGATCACAAGTACAGACTGATCATATTTTGTACATTTTAGATATGATTTATTCGGCAAATTTTCGAGCTGACGTCATCAAGTTTTTGGAGGGGATAAGCAAATATATTTTGACTAAACATTTATTATGCTCTTTATAAACTTAAAACATCTGCAAGATGTCAGAGCATTCCGTTTTGTAGTTCCTGATTAAATCAATAAAATATATTTACGCATTCATTAATTTTTTTGAGTCACTCTGTATATGCAAATCCAAAAAATATGAATGGAGCGATAAATGACAAGTACAGGCTCATCATATTTTGTACATTTTAGATATGATTTATTCGGCAAACTTTCGAGCTGACGTCATCAAGTTTTTGGAGGGGATAAGCAAATATATTTTGACTAAACATTTATTATGCTCTTTATGACCTTAAAACATCTGCAACATTTCAAAGCATTCTGGTTAGCTGATTAAAAATTAAATTTCAAAATGTTGTTTTATAATTTTGATTTTTTTTCCAAAAATCTGGACGTTTCGGGTGAAAAGTCGATTCAGAGTTGTAAACTACATGTGTAGGACTATGTTATTTTATACAATTGAAAACCCATTTACTATGTACAATTTTGAAGTGACGTCATCGCATTAGTGGTGGGGATGATTAGACAAATTTTGGTTAGCGTTTTACCATCTATATGATATTCTTAATATAAGTACAAAATTTCACAACAATCGGTCGAGTACTTTCGGAGATTATCTGTTTAATAAAAATCCGGGGGCAGACGGACAGACGGACAGACAGACGGAAATGGGAGACCTATTTCTTCGTCTTCTAGGGGTCATGAAAGATCGAGAAAACGTAAAAGTAGAGAGTCGGCCGACGGACTCGATTACAATACTTCCTTTGCTTACGCTCGGGAAGTAAAAATTTACCATTTCAAACATGTTCTAAGTTTTTTGTTGTGAAAAAAAGTTGAAATTAGGCCCGAAAACGAAATTCCATTTAGCTAATTTTTCGGTCTACTACTGGACACCCTTAATCTTTCTGTATGTCTTACTGAGCAGTCTGGCTACATCTGCGAATTCGTATTATCCACTTTTGGAAATTGCGTTTTCCCGCAAAATTAATGAGGTCAAACCTCTTACTGTTGGTTAATACCACACAAATAATTATAATAGTCCAAGTCAACCTTAAAGCTACTGCTATGTAGTTTGGAAAAGATGTGCATAAAGCGGGTGCTTGGTTTTGTGATATACTGGATGAAAGTTTTATAAAGAGTGGGTCATTGATGCGAAACCTTGTTGAAAGCTTCCGAGTGTAGTTAATAAAGCAATAATTTCTTTAATTAACGAAAAAATCAGATCAAAACTGCATACAACTTAAATTACTACATAGATACTATAGTTAAAACATACTTGTGAAAATATTGACCATTTATTTAGTTGCGCAATTTTGATTTGATGGTGATCATGGTATTATTGAAATTCAGCACAATTAATTTTCACACCATTTCAAAGAAAAGAATTCTAACCAATCAACTAGGTTTGGAAAACAATTTTCCTGAATGTGATAAGTAGATATAATAGTACATTAACCATTTTAGATTCTCTTCTTATTAAACGTTATTAAAAGCGCCCAAATCTTTCATTTGTAATGTTTAATAAATATTTACGGGAATTGAGTATGTATGCATCTCTGTGTTACATGATGTAACTATTAAACAAAGTTTACCTTAATATGATGGGTAATATGTTCCTTAAAATTCTTTCTATCCTCAAACTGCACATTACAATATGAACACACTAGATTAGCACTTTCATGCACAGTGTTGCTCAAGTGATTTTGTGAATGCTTATTTAATTCTTCCTGCAATAAATAATAAAAAAATATATATATCTTAATGAAATAAGACTAAAATCTCACCTCTTTCTCGAATTCTGCACCACATTCCTCACAAGTATACAACTCCTCAACTTGATGCAACAGTAAATGAGACTTTAAACTAGCAAGCCTCTGAAATGAAATGCTGCAAATTGGACATGTAGGTGTACCTTCACCATGCATTGCCATGTGAATTTTCAAATTCAATTCTACATTATAACCAGCAGAACATTTATCACACTTGTACTTTTTCACATTCCTATGCCATACCATATGCTTACGGTAAGAAGCTATTTTTTCAAAAATTTCTTTGCACTTAGGACACTTGTAAATTGGACTAGGTTTTTGTGCTTCCATAGGGTCATTGTTGCTACTATTACATCTAAAAAATGAAAATAATTCATACATCTGTGCAAAATATTAACCAGTGACAGTTTTACATAATTTGAGGACTGTCTATATCAGTGTCTGGTTGAATAATGTGGTTCGAAGCTGGGAGGTGTGTAACCTCCACTGGCTTCGACAGGCCATCTTGTAACTGAAAACAGAAAAAATAAACATTAAGTAAAAACACAGAATACTGAATCATGTTACGTTATTTGCTTCCAGGATACACAAGGAACCATCAGACAGGGTTTTAATTATAGCATTTTTAATTACATGAAACTGCTCGGGTGTTTGCGTGTTAGTCTGGAAAGCATCAATTGGTAAAGCTACAAAAGTTGGAACAGTAACATTATTAGTGTTGTAATTTCCTTCAGCCATAATTTTAACTGATATCGCAATGTAATAACAAAGTTGTTAAGTTGCCACAAAACTTAATTTGTTTTAGTTGTCATTATACTGTCAATGTCAAATCTCATGTGTTAAAACTACATCGACTTTGCGTATATCGAAACTGGATTCTATCTAAAAAAAAGTTGTATAGTTTTTGCCAAAACTAAAAAATCACTACCTTTTCATTTTAATTGCTAACAAAAAAAATCCAATGATGGTTTTTGTATTCTTTTAGAATTATGCACTACATTTCATCACCGGGGCGAAGGCAACATGTTTCAATAATACCAGTAACTAAACCACAGAACAACCAATACAATAAAGTGTCAGCTACAGAACCACAGCACAGTCAAGATAAAGAAGCGCAGGCTGCATTTTATTAGTAGAAATTGGAAAAATAATTATTATTATTCATTCGTCCATGATTTTCATGGAAACACGAACGATATTTCAAGTCGCCATTTCGTGCAGTGAGCGCGTAAATTAAATAATTGTGCTTTAGATCGTATTGTGGGTTGCCTATTTTACGTGCACCCTCTTCCCAGTTTTTTAATATGTACACATGTAATTTTAATTTCGTTTTCTATAAACCGGGTCTAAATCTAATTTTTCTATTATTTCTATAAATTTTCATTTCTTCTCCATCATTTTTTCGGTTAAGGGTTTTATTTGCCTCTCGAAAATTTCCACCTTTGTTTGAAATTCTTTAACATCGTATAGCCAAATATTAATTAATCGATTCTCTTTATCATTTATAAAGAAAATAGCAGGTACAGTATCGAAGCACACACGTCCTTTACTCGTGACGATTCACCATAAAATATTTCTTTTATACGAGAATGGATAACTAACTAAAACACGCAATAACTACCTAATTAATCATCATTTATTAAAGTTACCTATCTCGTTACCTACTATTTCTAGTAGGGGTACAAATTAACTTAATCTACATAATACAGATAAATCAATAAAAATAAATAAAATAAAATAAATATTCGAGTTTTATATAATAAATGTTCTATTCTTTCTGCTTGCCCACCCCTTGCCATAGTTCCCTTATCTTCCGTACTTCTTTCATCCAGTCAAGTGTTCTTCCATCCTCGTTTAGCACTTCTTCTATACTTTCCTCCGATTCTCTCAATTCTTCACATCCTTCCAGCATATGCTCTATTGTTTCTCCCTCTCTCCAACATATCCTACACCTGTCAGTGTCGTCCATCCAAAAATTATTCTCTTTCTCTCCATTTCCACACCTAAATCTCGCCATCATTTTTTTTTCCTTTATACTCTCTCTCACTGTGTACTTTGGTACTTCATCCTTTACTATTTTTCTATACCCTGCATTATATTTACACTCCGATATTCTCGATCTGCGTTCTTGCTTATATACCCTTATCTCTTACACTCAGTTCTTCTTTCATACTCCTTCCCATTTCTCTCATTCTCTCTATTTCTTCACAGTTCACATGCATATCCTTTTCCTTCATAATACTTGTCTCTTTCGTTCCAAACATGTTTTCCCCCTTCCTTTCTCATTTCTGTCCAACATTCTTGCAATATTTTACAATCACCTCTGTCACTAAACTTCTCTTCAAATTCAACCGCCCTTTTACCCGCTTCCACTCTCATTTTCTCCCTTTTTGTTTCTTCTTTCACTATATACCCCGGCGTATACTTTTCCAATCCCAATGTCCATTTCAAGTATTTTTCTTGTACTCTCTCTATTTCTTCATTTCCCTCCAACCCCAAATCTCAGCTGCGTACATAAATACACTTTTGGTTAAACTATCAAACATCATCATTCTTCTCTTATAATCATGTCCAAATTGTCTCTCTTCTATCACTTTGTTCGCTTTTCGGGCAATTTCTTGAATATGCGCTCCATCTGAGTTATTGGTCTTTAATGTATATCCTAAATACTGGAATTCTTTCACCTGTTCAATCTTTTTTCCTCTCCATGCCCACTTTTCATTCTCCTTTCTTACTTTCTTCCCAAACACCACCATTTTTGTTTTTTCCACATTCCTTCCAATTCCTTTTTTTGTACGTACTTCTCGAAACTTTTAATCATTGTTTTCATATCTTCTCTTTTCTTTGCCACAATCATCAAATCATCTGCGTACGCCAACGACCACACTTTCTTTTTGCCCACTACCACCCCTCCTGTCTGTGCTTTTCTGGACATTTCATCTATATCTCCTAGATAAGCTGCAAACAATGCGGGACTGAGTGGGCATCCCTGTCTCACTCCTCTATTTGTATAAAAACTCTCGCTCTCTATTCCATCCACTCTCAGGTTATTTACTGTTTCTTCATATATTTCTTCCATTTTCGTTACCAGGTACGCATCTACTCCCTTTCTCCTCAAATACTCCCACATTTTCTCTCTATTCATGCTATCAAACGCTGCTTTGAAATCTATGAACAATGCGTACATTCGTCCACCCTCTTTCCTTATTTCTCTTCCCACTAAATGCCGCAGGATGTACACATTGTCCATAGTACCTCTTCCTTTCCTAAACCCTGCCTGACCGTCTGGTAACATACCCCTTGCTTCTATCTCCTTTCGTGACCTCTCATCTAGTATCATTGCGTATATCTTGTATGCCGTATTTAGCAAGGTGATCCCTCGGTAGTTCTTCACATCACTTTTTTGCCCCTTTTTAAATAATAGGATTATTATACCTTCTCTCCACTACCGACGAAACCCTTTTCCCTTCCAAACTCCATCTACCACTTCCCATATCCCTTCTTTCACTTCTTCTGTCCCGAACATCCACGCTTCGTTCTGGATTCTATCCCCTCCTGGTTTCTTTCCTCTTTTCAGTCTTTCAATCTATCTTCCTATTTCATCTTCTGTTAATTTCGAACCTCTCCACATTTCATCCGTTGTTGTGATTCCTTTATTTATTTTGCAGCATTTTTTCTCACAACTTCCCAATAATTGCATAAAGTGTGTTTTCCATTCATGTATTTTGATTTTCCTACTGACTTCAGTTTTCCTTCTCCGTTCCTTGTTTGTATATCTCCATACTTCTTCTGCTTTCAGGGAATTTATTGTCTTCTCTTCTTCTTCTTCTCGTTTTTCTCTTTTTCTTTCTTCCCATTTTCTCCTATAATTTTCTCTTGCTTTTAGGTATTCTTCTTTCCCTCCCTTGCTTCCATTTTCTTAATTTTTCCCTTGCTTTTCTTTTCAACTCACTACATTCTCCGTTCCATCCATTATTCCTCCCTTGCCATATGTATATCTTTCTTTTTTCCGTAGATTCTACAATTAGGTTGCCCAGTTCTGCTGTCATAGCTTCTGTATCTTCTTTCACTTCGATTTTCTTTTTTTCTAGTCTACTTCTGTATCTTTAAATTCCCTCTTCATCCCATTTTCTTTTTTCTATTTCTTTTCTTTCGTTTCTTCTCTCTTGTTTTTCGTACTCTTGCTCTTTTCCTTTGATTTTTATTTCTAGTGGCATGTGGTCTGATTCTATCCTTTCCCCCACTTTGAAACTCTCTATTTCTTCTCTTCGTCGACAATCCCATAGTCTATAATTGATTCTCCCCTGGCCCCTACGTACGTCCATTCTCCTTCTTCATCTCCTTCCTTGTTTCCATTCAAAATTTCCCATCCCATTTCTTCTATTATCTTCCACAATATTTTCCCTTCTTTGTTATTTGCTTTGTCTTTTGATCCTCTTTTCTCTCCCTTTTCTTTATCTATTATTCTTGTCCCCTTACCGTCTAATCTTGTGTAAAAATCCCCTCGTATAAGTATTTTTTCATCTCCTTTTTCTTTTGTTTCCTCTTCTATGTTTATCCTGGTTTCCTCCATTTTCTTACTATAAACGGTTATTATTTCCCATCGATTGTTGTCCAGATCTGTTACTTTCTTCATTAGTCCGTTTTTATTATAACTTCCCTTTTCTAATTCTTGCATTTCTTTTCAAATTTCCATTACTATTCCCCCCCTTGACACTCCCACACATATTTTTGTGGTAGTGTCTCTTCCAAATTCTCCCAGTTTTCTTTTTGTACCCAAGTGTCTACTAGCCTCACAACATCAAATTTTCTCACGTAGTCCCAGAACTCCTTTTCCTTTTTTCACAACCCTTGGACATTCCAAAACAGTACCTTCACCCCTTTTTCCTCTAATTTTGTACCAGCTTCCCTGTTTCCGATTTCCCTATCTGCATCCTTTATTCCTTTTCCTTTGCCTTGTTTTCTTCCATTTTTCCTAATTTCCTTCATTTTCTTTTGGCTCTTTACTAAAAATTTTCTACCTTCTTGAGTCTGCCCTCTTCTTTATTCCATTCAAAATTTCTGCCGTCTACAGTTAACTTTTTATATTACATTCTAACCATTTTTCCTTTATTTCTCTCTTTGACTTTACTCTCTACTTTGACTTTCTCTTCTAAAAATTTTGTCACCTTTTCAATTATCTGCTTCTGCTCTACTGTTCTTATTTCCAATCCCATCGTCACTACTTTGTTTCTTCACTTTTCTCTCTCCATTCGATCAAGTTGACTTTCTACTTCACCCACTCTCTTTCACATTTCTTCCTTTTCCTTAGCTCTATTCCATTCTTCATACTTATCTCTAATTTCTTGATTTTGCTCCCGTACTTGATCTCTTGCTTGCTTTAATTCTTCTTTTATTGTTTTAAGCTCCTCTTTAAGCTGTGTATTCAATTCCTTCAATAATTGTTATTACTTTCTCTCATATCATCTCTTATTTGTGTTGCAAGTTCGCTGATCATCTGCTTGACCTCCTCCATCTCTACATCTTCTCCATCTCTATATCTCCTTGATTTTTCTTCTCTCTTGATTGCAGAGGTAGTCTTACTGTTATGTTGCTTCTTTGGAAGACCTACTCGTTCTCTTTCGGCGACTCTACTTTTCTATCCCTTTTCTTTCTTTCTGTCCCTTCACGGCGGAAGGATATAACCCAGATCGTCTCTTCGGAGGTTATTCACCTATCCGTGTTTAATTTTAATAATAATGAAAAAACTTTCAGGGAGAGAAACTCTCTCTCTCTTCTGCCTGAAGACAGTACTGTGTACCGAAACACGTGTAGCAGTGACTACAAATATATCATTTAAACCCTGAAAGTTTTTTCATTATTATTAAAATTAATATGGAGTTTAAACACGTATCAGCCTCATCAATACAAACATATCCGTGTTTACGTTTATTCGATATCTGTGCTGATTCCTCGATTTTTTTCTCCCAATCTGCGCTATACTGAAGCCGTAAGTGCTCTATTGTTCCCCGCTAATGAGCATGTGTTAATTCGCCACCTCTGCATCACCTAGAGCCTCTTCGACGTGCAAATCTGCAATCCTCTGGGCCTCTTTGAGCATTCATTTACAAAAAAGTCGTAGCACCCCCTTAAAATAATAATAATATTAATAATAATAATATTAATAGGACTTTATTAAATAATAATAGGCGAAGTCTAGCCATAGGCTATTCCACTTAACCTTAGATTTACAAGAAAATAAAACTAACCAAACAGTTTGTACAGAAAAACGGATTAAATATCTAAACAGGAGTCAGCTAGGTAATGATCAAATTAAACAAATTAAACTAATTAAATCCAAATTAAATTAAATAATCCATAATTAGAAACTAAATTTATACAAATAATAATAATAATAATAACAAAAAATTAACAACAAGAAAGAGAACCACAATAATAAACTTAAACCTAAGTATTAACCAAACATTTTTTAATTTTTTTCCTAAAACAATTGATGGAAGAACTTGAATTAAACTCTAATAAAAATTTATTGTAAACTTTGATAATATTGTACGTGAAAGATCTCTGAAAGATAGATGTATAATGCTTTGGCATTGACAGTTCTTTAAGATTCCTTAATGGAAGACTTGAGTTTAACATACTTTTTCTTGTATGAAATTTACAACGCAAGTACGGCGGAGAGTTAGAGGAAAATAACTTGAAAGCAAAGATAGGTGATACTGAAACAATTTGTCAATTTTCATCCAACCGAGCTCACAGATTTTCTGAGACACATGATCAAATTTTCTCAAACCAAAAATGAAACGACAACAATTATTTTGGATTTTTTGAAGACGGTATTTATCAATACTGTCAAGACATGGGTAATATATATATTACTAGGCAATAATTTATATATGACAAGACAAGAGACTCACATAATTTCTTCCTCAATTTAAAATTGAGTAAAAGGTAATTTGAATAAAGAAGTTTCAATGCTACATAAGATTTTTTAATAATGTTAGAAATATGGGTCTTAAAACGAATATCGTCATCAATCACCAATCCCAAATTTCTTACAGTATGTAAAACTGGTAGTTTTATATTATCAAATTTAACATTAATATTGTCAAAAAGAACATTTTTAAATTTTCGGGGAGCGAAGCAAATAACTTTGCATTTATTCATATTCAGTTGGAGGTTAATATCAGATGAAACATTTGCTATATTTTGTAAGTCATTATTTATATGGTTAGATGCTATATCAACTTCGTTAGGTAGGAAATGATGCTGCATTTGGGTGTCATCTGCAAAGACTCTCTTTTTAGATACTGAAGGTATCTGCAACAATTGGGAAGTATATATAGTAAAAAGAACTGGGCCTAAGACCGAGCCTTGCGGTACGCCTGATGTTATTAAGCCAATTTTAGATTTACCAGACTCGGTTACAACTTGTTGATGTCGATTTTGTAAATATGATTTAAAAAAAGAAACAGAAATTTGATCGAACCCATAATATTCCAGTTTTGTGCAGAGGAGGTGGTGGTCCAAAGTATCAAAAGCTTTTGAATAATCCAAAAGAGTTACAATACTTGCGTGGTTTTGTCAAATTCAATCAGGCAATCATCGATAACAGAAGCTAGAGCTGTCGTTGTGCTATATCCCTTGCGAAAACCAGATTGATCTTCAGATAATATCTCTTCTTTTACTATAAAATTAAAGATTTGATTATAGATACATTTTTCTAAGACTTTAGATAATGTTGGAACAATACTTATTGGTCTTAGGTCTTCTGGAGAGTTTACCTCATCGATTTTGGGAATAGGATGAATTAAAGCCACTTTCCATAATTCTGGAAAGTATCCAGTCTCCAGACAGCAATTGATAATGTGAGTAATTGGCTGAACTATATTAGGACAACATAATTTAATCATGTAAGCAGAGATACCATTAATACCCATAGCATTAGATTTCAAGCTATTTATGATTTGAAACACTTCCTCCTCAGTGGCCAATGAAAATTTAAAGTTGTTAATTGGTTTATATTTGATACCTTTTATGTTATTAGCAGCTTCAACACAGTTTTGGGGAGGAGTGAATACTGACAAAAAATATTCATTTATTTCACCAGCACTGAATGTAGATAGATCACATCCTTTAACTTTTTTTTGAATATTTAACTTTTTTAGTGCAACCCATAGTCTTTTTTTGTTTGAAGTATTACTTTCACAATCTAAGTACGCTTTTTTTTCCCGTTTCAGTGCAGCAACCGTAGAATTTTTTAGCTGCTTATAAAATAGCCAGTGCTGAGCAGTTAGTTTGCTTATATAAACTTAATGCTCGATTTCTTTGTTTCATCAATTCTTTAATATAAGGGGTGAGCCAAGGTGCATAGGGCTTTGAAATGAACGAGGTTTTGAACGGAGCGTGATAGTCAAATAATTCTAACACAGTTGTGTTAAGGTACCTGATTTTATCTTCAATATTGAAGATGTAATAAATGTTATCCAAAGATTTTTTATTTAAGTCTTAAAATACCCAACATTTTCAACAGTTGTAGTAGTTAAATTATTTACTTAGTTTTTTGAGTTTATGTTGTAACCTTTGAATAAAATGTCGTAAAAGGAATTTTTAGGAACAATTTTCTCTTGATTAATCGGTTGCAAAAGATCAAAAGGCACTCGAAACAAGCCCTGACAAATTTATTAGCGGCGCCAGCGGAGATCTCCGACCACCATGGACACTCGCGTAACCTCCTTTTCTATAATTGTCAAAATGACATTGGCAAACTCAAAGCAATCATGGATTAAGCATTTGACGTCGGCCTCAAAACTACTCTACTTATTTGTCTAATTAAATCGTCAATAAAGGACATACAGAAAACAATCTTTATAATTCCAAGGGATATGAATCGTTAAAAAACGTGAGGTTCATCAAATGCATCTTATTATAGTGTTTCTTTCTCATTCAGCATTCATGCAGATTTGTTTGAAAAAACAACTCAGTTTTTTTTTTCATCTGAATATATTCTCGATTAAACAAACAACTAAATTAGTTCCTTTAGCTTTCTCCGCAAAATCTTTCCACTCGTACTTTTTGGAATTGCGTCTATAAATATAATACCTCCATGGAGATGTTTCTGACTGGACACATTCTCTAAAAAAATTATGGTATTTGAAAAAGTATTATAGAAATATTATAATTGTTATGCTAATTAGATTACCGGCGATATATTTAATAAGTTCTTCTTCGGTCACAGATTGGTTTGGCTGTTTTACAATAAACGCAACAGGTACCTCTCCAGATCGTTCATCAACTTTACCTACAACCCCAGCGTCTTTAACTCCAGGGTGCTGAATTAAAAGATTTTCTAATTCTGCTGGAGACACCTGAAATATTTTATATTAACATACATTTATCGCGTGATCAGAAATGACTGAATCTGTTGGCAATATTTTTTAAACAAAAATGTAAACTTTTCTTACTTTTATGTTGGCATAACGGAAGTGACAACCGTGACATGCGATAAATTTGGATAAAGTTTTGGATACATTTGGCAAATTAAAAATGTCAACAATGTGTCAGTCTTGACAGCTGACAACCGGAAATTATAGGAAACATGATATCAATTTCAACTAAAATCAAGAACTGCCAACAGATACAGTCATTTCTGATCAAGCGGTATTTCATAAGATTATTTATAGAATCATACTTGAAAACCTTTATATTTGATAATTTCTTTCAAACGATCCACGATATAAAAATATCCTTCTTCATCGTAATATCCCAAATCGCCACTCTTTAAAAATCCATGTTCATCAAAAGCAGCTTGAGTTTCTGCTTCGTTTCCCAAATAACCCTTCATTATGCCATCACCTTTAAAACGAAGTTCACCAATTTCATGAGGAGATAAAGTTTTTCCCGTTTCAACATCCACAACTTTAATGCTATGGGTGGTCGTCGCTTTCCCGGAAGATCCATATTTTTTCACATATCTTGGTATTATAGTAGCAGCTCCACATACTTCTGTCATTCCATACACTTGACGAACAGCTTTAACTTTTAGTGTTTTTTCTACCATTTCCTCTAATTCTTTAGTTGCCGGTGCGGCACCAGACATAACATCGTTTATTGACGAAAGATCGTATTTTTGCACAAGAGGACTCTTTGCCAAAAAAAGAAGAACAGGGGGTACGACAAACAATTTTGTTATTTTGTGTTCTTGAATAATGTTTAAAAAAAAATCTGGATTAAAAGCATCAAGTATTACAAATTTTGCACCATATAAAAGGCTAGCTAGAGCTAATGCGTTACCGAATATGTGGAAAAATGGTAAGAATCCAACTAAGGAATCAACGTTGTTAATGTCAAGGAAGTACGGATCGCCGGCATAAATCATGGTTAGGCGAAAATTTGAGTGACTTAACTGAACACATTTTGGCAAACCCGTAGTTCCTGAAGAAGTAAGAATGAGGGCAATATCTTCTTTTGTGTCTACTTCAACAGGAGTGAAGAATTCAGTATCGTCTACATGAAGTAAGAAGTCGTCAAAATTTATTGCCTCAGGGACATGTTTGTCGTAAATGATGATATGGGCTGGATAAAATAATTGCTTTTTTAGTGGTAGGAGATTTTTGAAGGTTTTTGATGTGCAGAACACAACAGCCGGCTTAGAAATTGAGAAAAAGTGTTCAAGTTCACCTAAAAGTAAATGGTTAAAATTGTTTTGTATTATGATGTTCCTTTTACCTGAACTATAGTCGCAGTTGAGTGGATTAACTGATGCCCCTATATAAAAACCAGCAATAATGGTAACTAAATATTTCCACTGATTATGTGATATTATAGTTATCACGTCATGTTTTTTCACGCCTAAGTTGATTAATTTTTTCGCCAATGTAACAGATAGCCTCGATAAAGTTCCGTAATTTATTTTCTGTTTGTCTGAATCGATCTAAAAAGCAACAACATTAATGACAATTTAAAAGACACAAAAACCTACGATAGCAATTCGGGTGTTTTCCCATTTTCTAATTTCGTTATAAAATATAAAACCCAGCGATTTTTCTGGTAGTTGATTGTTGTCAGGGGGACCTTCCAAGACAATGCCTTTCATGTCGTTATTTTAGTTAGAGATATCTGATTAGTTACTACTAACAAGATTAAAAAATTTTCTCTTAATATATAATACCCATTTATTTGCATTAAAAATATGTTTATTTTATCAGTTATCGCAATTATAATTATCATTTATGGTTGAGTTCACATGAATAGCATTTTTTTTTTATTTTAAACATCAGAATGAATTGCTGTGTCCCTCAATCGTCCATCATAAAATATTATAACAGAAAAAATTGGTAATTTTTACATTTTTTATGAAGAATATAAAACGATTTCGTAAATGTTTTGTTTAATATATGTTTTTATTTTGTGATAAAACCAATCACTTTTTCAAATGATTATTTTTATTTTCCGCTATTAACAAAGTAGTACTTTTTTGGAATTAATATACAGCGTGTTATTGAAAGGTACGTACAAAATAAAATCGGAAATTGGTTTCGAAGTATGGGTGCTAAACGTAAAAAAAAGTTCAGGTAAAAGTGTTCTCCTTTTAGAGATAAAAATATTAAAATGTATGTCCAAATTCGTTGTACGCCTCTGATAAAAATATCATCCTTCGTTTCTATAGCAACATTTAGTCTTGACAAAAGTATTATTGTTACAGTTGCTAGGTTCCACTAAAATAAATTAATTTTACCTATTTATCCTTCAATAGCGTCTAAAAAGGTTGGTTAAGGGTTAATTTTCTCCTTATAACTTTGATAACACAAAATAAGTTTTTCAGACTTCTTAGACTTGGCGAATAATTGTCAATTTTGTTGTACGTACCTTTCAATAACACCCTGTATATTCATAATGAAATATATACTTAGGCCGTAAGGATTTGCTACCTGTTGAGTGAATTGCATGGTAGTCTTTCCAAGAAATAACAAAAAAACTTTACCACCATCGTATCGTAATCAAGTGTATAAACGAATTTTTTTGTTGAAATCGCAAATATGGGTGGAAAATAGCACTTATTTCGAATTTTGCTGTTGTACGAGTATAGTGCAGACAATTTTCGAAATTTCACTAAAAACATTTTCTTGTAGATTTCGGGCCGCAGAAGTCAAATCCGCTTTCACTTCGATAACTCCCTTGGTTCTTTTTCGTCCCTTCTATCCTTTTTCGTCCTTCTTCGTCCTTTTTCGCCCTTTTATGTCCTTTTTCGACTTTTTTCGTGCTCTTTCGTCCATCTTCCGTCCTTTTTCGTTCTTAGTATCCGTTTTCGTCTTTTTCGCCGCAGAAGTCATATCCGCTTTCATTTCTTCGATAACCCCTATGGCCTTTCCAGAATCGTTCTTTGAAATATTCAAAAATATGCAAAATGACCTCAATTTCCCATCAATTTTTAACAAAATTTTCGAAATTTCACTTAATACATTTTCTTGCACATTTCGGGTCGCAGAAGCCATATCCGTTTTCATTTCTTCGATAACTCCAATGGTTTTCCTAGAATCGTCCTTTGAAATGTTCAAAAAAATGCAAAATGACCTCAACAAAATTTTCGAAATTTCACTTAATACATTTTCTTGTAGATTTCGGGCCGCAGAAGACAAATCCGCTTTCACCTCTTCGATAACTACCTTGGTTTATCGAGAATCGTCCTTTGAAGTACATAGTCATAGTTACTTCCCCCCAGACAAATTTGCATTTTCTCGCTTAATTGAAGAGATCCGGCAAAAGCGAATATGGAATCGTAATCCTGAGGAAATTCCGCGTCATATGATACCCCACCGAAGAATCATAGTTACTCCCACCGAAGAATCATAATTACTCCCACCGAAGAATCATAGTTACTCCCACCGAAGAATCATAGTTACTCCCACCGAAGAATCATAGTTACTCCCACCGAAGAATCATAGTTACTCCCACCGAAGAATCATAGTTACTCCCACCGAAGAATCATAGTTACTCCCACCGAAGAATCATAGTTACTCCCACCGAAGAATCATAGTTACTCCCACCGAAGAATCATAGTTACTCCCACCGAAGAATCATAGTTACTCCCACCGAAGAATCATAGTTACTCCCACCGAAGAATCATAGTTACTACCACCGAAGAATCATAGTTACTCCCACCGAAGAATCATAGTTACTCCCACCGAAGTATCATAGTTACTCCCACCGAAGAATCATAGTTACTCCCACCGAAGGATCATAGTTACTCCCACCGAAGAATCATAGTTACTCCCACCGAAGAAACATAGTTACTCCCACCGAAGAATCATAGTTACTCCCACCGAAGAATCATAGTTACTCCCACCGAAGAATCATAGTTACTCCCACCAAAGAATCATAATTACTCCCACCAAAGAATCATAGTTACGCCCCTCCAAAATTCTCTTTACCCTTTTTGCCCTTCTCTTCATTTTTGGTTTCTTTTTCGTTCTTTTCCGTCCTTTTTCGTCCCTTTTATCCTTTTTCGTCCTTCTTCGACCTTTTTCGCCGTTTTAAGTCCTTTTTCGACCTTTTTCGTCCTCTTTCGTCCATCTTCTTCCTTTTTCGTTCTTAGTATCCTTTTTCGTCCTTTTTCGCCACAGTAGTCATATCCGTTTTCATTTCTTCGATAACTTAAATGGTTTTCCCAGAATCGTCCTTTGAAATGTTCAAAAATATGCAAAATGACCTCCATTTTCTACCAATTTTCAACAAAATTTTCGAAATTTCACTTAATACATTTTCTTGTAGATTTCGGGCCGCAGAAGTCAAATCCGCTTTCACCTCTTCGATAACTACCTTGGTTTATCGAGAATCGTCCTTTGAAGTACATAGTCATAGTTACTTCCCCCCAGACAAATTTGCATTTTTCTCGCTTAATTGAAGAGATCCGGCAAAAGCGAATATGGAATCGTAATCCCGAGGAAATTCCGCGTCATATGATACCCCACCGAAGAATCATAGTTACTCCCACCGAAGAATCATAGTTACTCCCACCGAAGAATCATAGTTACTCCCACCGAAGAATCATAGTTACTCCCACCGAAGAATCATATTTACTCCCACCGAAGAATCATAGTTACTCCCACCGAAGAATCATAGTTACTCACACCGAAGAATCATAGTTACTCCCACCGAAGAATCATAGTTACTCCCACCGAAGAATCATAGTTACTCCCACCGAAGAATCATAGTTACTCCCACCGAAGAATCATAGTTACTCCCACCGAAGAATCATAGTTACTCCCACCGAAGAATCATAGTTACTCCCACCGAAGAATCATAGTTACTACCACCGAAGAATCATAGTTACTCCCACCGAAGAATCATAGTTACTCCCACCGAAGTATCATAGTTACTCCCACCGAAGAATCATAGTTACTCCCACCGAAGGATCATAGTTACTCCCACCGAAGAATCATAGTTACTCCCACCGAAGAAACATAGTTACTCCCACCGAAGAATCATAGTTACTCCCACCGAAGAATCATAGTTACTCCCACCGAAGAATCATAGTTACTCCCACCGAAGAATCACAGTTACTCCCACCGAAGAATCACAGTTACTCCCACCGAAGAATCATAGTTACTCCCACCGAAGAATCATAGTTACTCCCACCGAAGAATCATAGTTACTCCCACCGAAGAATCATAGTTACTCCCACCGAAGAATCATAGTTACTCCCCTCCAAAATTCTCTTTACCCTTTTTGCAATTCTCTTCATTTTTGGTTTCTTTTTCGTTCTTTTCCGTCCTTCTTCGTCCCTTTTATCCTTTTTCGTCCTTCTTCGTCCTTTTTCGCCATTTTATGTCCTTTTTCGACTTTTTTCGTCCTCTTTCGTCCATCTTCGTCCTTTTTCGTTCTTAGTATCCTTTTTCGTCCTTTTTCGCCACAGTAGTCATATCCGTTTTCATTTCTTCGATAACTTCAATGGTTTTCCCAGAATCGTCCTTTGAAATGTTCAAAAATATGCAAAATGACCTCAATTTTCTACCAATTTTCAACAAAATTTTGAAATTTCACTTAATATATTTTCTCGTAGATTTCGGGCCGCAGAAGTCAAATCCGCTTTCACCTCTTCGATAACTACCTTGGTTTATCGAGAATCGTCCTTTGAAGTACATAGTCATAGTTACTTCCCCCCAGACAAATTTGCATTTTTCTCGCTTAATTGAAGAGATCCGGCAAAAGCGAATATGGAATCGTAATCCTGAGGAAATTCCGCGTCATATGATACCCCACCGAAGAATCATAGTTACTCCCACCGAAGAATCATAGTTACTCCCACCAAAGAATCATAGTTACTCCCACCGAATCATCATGGTTACTCCCACCTAAGAATCATAGTTACTCCCACCGAAGGATCATAGTTACTCCCACCTAAGAATCATAGTTACTCCCACCGAAGAATCATAGTAACTCCCACCGAAGGATCACAGTTACTCCCACCGAAGAGTCATAGTTACTCCCACCTAAGAATCATAGTTACTCCCACCGAAGGATCATAGATACTCCCACCGAAGAATCATAGTTACTCCCACCGAAGAATCATAGTTACTCCCACCGAAGAATCATAGTTACTCCCACCGAAGAATCATAGTTACTCCCAAGAATCATAGTTACTCCCACCGAAGAATCATACTTACTCCCACCGAAGAATCATAGTTACTCCCACCGAAGAATCATGGTTACTCCCACCGAAGAATCATAGTTACTCCCACCGAATCATCATAGTTACTCCCACCTAAGAATCATAGTTACTCCCACCGAATCATCATAGTTACTCCCACCTAAGAATCATAGTTACTACCACCGAATCATCATAGTTACTCCCACCAAAGAATCATAGTTACTCCCACCGAATCATCATAGTTACTCCCACCGAAGAATCATAGTAACTCCCACCGAAGAATCACAGTTACTCCCACCGAAGAATCATAGTTACTCCCACCGAAGAATCATAGTTACTCCCACCGAAGAATCATAGTTACTCCCACCGAAGAATCATAGTTACTCCCACCGAAGAATCATAGTTACTCCCACCGAAGAATCATATTTGCTCCCACCGGGGAATCATAGTTACTCCCAC